ACAGGGTGGGACGTACAGCAGAGACCCCACTGCCCAGGGACAGTTTATCTTCTCCTCTTGTCCAGCTTTGCTTGTGCCATCTGTCCCCACCGACCTGTACTGGACACCCTGGCCATGCTGACTGCCCATCGTGCAGGCAAGAAACATCTGTCCAGTAAGTTTGGGAGAAGACATAGGTTAGAGAATAAACCCTTAAAACTTTCTCAGACCACTCTGGTGCTCTGCTTTTGTTTCTCTTCCCTTTCTCCTCAGGCCTGCAACTTTTCTATGGCAAGAAGCAGCCTGGAAAGGGAATGGAGCAGCATCCAAGACAGCAGAATGAATCGGAGAGGGAAGAGAGGAAAGCAGAGGTAATCAGAGAGACGAGTGTGTGCTCCAGGCAGGACCTTAGGCTCGAAGGGCTGTGGCGTCTAGGAAGAATCTGACTCTGTCTTCCATCTCCATGCCAGGCTCCTCTGTTAACCCAGACGCGACTTATCACCCAGAGTGCTTTGCACAGAGCTCCTCAGTATAACAGTTGCTGCCGACGGAAGTGCAGGTCTGTGGGGTGCGAAAGCCAGAGGTACGGAGGGACAAAGGGAGATAGATAGATGGCTCTAAAGTGATTGTTTTCTAGATTGTGTCCTGAGGAATTCTAGGATTCTGGAGATGTTAACTGGCATTTCAGGAAAAAGAGAACTTTGTAATTAAAGAAAAATGTTGGGGAAGTGGTGCTTGAAGAATAGTAACATTAGTATATTTTAAGGTCTCCACAAAGTCTTAAGATAAAGAACTTAAAAAAATGTTTAACCTTCCCTTTAGCCTTTTCTAAATTCATTTGATTCCAAAAGCCTTTTCGGGCAGCACACTTATTAAGATCTTGAGGAATACCGTGTAGGAAACTGCTTTAAGGGCTGGGAGTCGCAGGAGACAGGGACCTTTCCTTTACTGCTCTTACAGACTTTGATTCTTCTCTGCCCAGACCAGAAGCCCCTCGACCCTCTGTCTCCCGCCCCCCTGTGCCACCCCCAGAGGTGGAACTCCCAAGTAGGCAGATCAGTAAGGACCCTGAGCCTGGGGCTGGTCCTCAGGCTGAGGAGTCAGCCACCGTCTCAACCCCTGCACCTGTGAGCCCCACGAGAAGGCGAGCCCTGGACCATTACCTCACCCTTCGGAGGTATGCACAGTCACTTTGCTCAGATTTCCCCTTTTCTCTCTGACCCTCCTTTTCCAAACCTTCTCAATTGTTTTTTCTTGTCCCACTGCCTTCTCCATAAACCTCCTTTTTTTTTTTTTCTATCCCCTGAGCCACCTGGGTGGCAGCTCAGCTCAAGGTGCCAAGTTCAGTCTTTAGTTGCAGGCGGGCACAGCCCACCATCTCGAACAGGCAGTCTTGTTAGGAGCACGTGCTCTCACCAGCTGAGCCATCCTGCCACCTGTTGGCAGCTCAGCAGCAGCTCAGCTCGGGCACAGCTCACTGGCCCATGTGGGAATCAAACTGGTGACCCTGTTGCTCAGAGCTTGTGCTCCTGAGCAAGCTCTTAACCAACTGAGCCACTCGGCCGGCCCTCAACCTCCTTTCTTGACCAGTTCTGTTTTCTCTGATGTTTCCAGCTCTGGATGGATCCCAGATGGACGCGGTCGATGGGTCAAAGATGAGAATGTTGAGTTTGACTCTGATGAGGAGGAACCTCCTGATCCCCCCTTGGACTGACACCCACTTTCCCCATTTAGTTCACAAATAAACACAATGGGCGCTGGGAGCCTAACTTGCCTTGAGTTTGGTTCCTTGTCCCACTTCAGGATTTCAGATGTGCTCGTTCTCAGCCTGGCCAGTCCTTCCCTGCCGTGTACACAGCTCCCCATACCTCTACCCCCTCCCCCACCTCCTACCAAAGCCATGCCAGGCGTCAGCTGCATCAGCCCGGTGCCCTATTAATAAGTCTGTTAGAAGGAGGTCTTTGCCCTTCATGTTGTCTGCCCTCCTCCCTACCTCCACTCAAAGTCCTTTCCTCCTTCAGATCACATGAGGGTTGTGTATAGAAAGTGGGAGGGGGGCGGGGGAGGGGGGGCCTGGCCACATCTGGAAACAGGGCTGAGGCTAGGAATCCTGTGAAAGTAGATGAAAGGCATTGGCAGGGTTATGGGGAACACCAAGGGAGGGAGGCCCCCCACCTTGTCCTCGTAACTTGAACCTCCCTGCCTGCTGATCCCCAGAGTATAAATAATCCCCTGATGAGCTGGCAGTAACCCTTGGGGGTTAGGGCCAAGATTTCCACCCCAAAGCCCAAGGAAGGAGGCAGTCTGAGCTGAGAGAAGGGCCTTTATTTACAGGAAAGGGGGATGGATGAGTTTGGGGTTCCCAGCTCTAGCTGGTAAGGGGAAAGGTAGTGTTATCTCTTCTTTTGCTGGCGACCTGTGAAGGAGGAAGAGTAAATACAAGTCTTCGTTCTGTCTCTTGCGTTCTGCAAAGGTGCTCTTCTTTTCCCTTCCAGTCCCTTTGCCAGACTTGTAAAGAGGTAACGTCTTAGGCTACCACATATGCCCACCCCCCATTAATAAACCCAAATAAGAAATGACACGACAAATAAAAATACTGCGCCTCCACACAGGTATGTCTGGCTTCATTCTCATTTCTCTACAGGTATGTATTTGAGGCAGGGGGGACTTTCCTATCTACTCTGATCACTTAGGGGATTTGAACTTCTCGTGTGACTATTGCTTTGGCAGCTCCCCAGGCTCTAGTCACTAAGTCAGCTTGCAGGAGGATCCACCAGCTTCTGTACCTCTTCCCCCCCCCNCTAAGTTTCAGCTTCTTCATCGGTGAAAAGGGGACAACTGTATGCTTACAAGGATGTGAGGATCAAATGCGCTAATGTATGTAAAGCCCCCAGCATCGTGGCTGGTATAAAAAATGGTAGCTGCCTCTTTCCACTGGAATAGTGGGACACGTTGTGTCCCCAACAGACAGTGCAACCCTGAGATGGGAAAACAAAAAAGATAAGGTGGATCAAAAAACACAACACATTAGGGAAATTTCAGGGGAAATTGCCTAGAAGCGCCATTACATTCTCCTGAGGAATAAATCTCTTCTAACTAGTTGTCCACCTCCCAATCCTGGAAGACTCACCGTCACCCCGTATTTGAGTGCTAGTCCAGCCAGGGTGTCTCCAGGCGCCAATTGATGCTCCAGGCGTCTTTCCCTTACTGGGGAGCAGGCAGACTGCACCAGGCTTCCATAAGAACGAGCTCGGCTCCCTTGAAGCAGTCCTGACCCCCCGAGGGGGGCCTGTCTCGAGGGCGAAGCCATCTCTACACCCTGAGGGCAGCTGGGGTTGCAACTGCCGGAGGCCAGGCTAAGCGACCGACAGTGACTGGCCGGGATCTCGCAACAATAACCAGGGGATTCCTTTCCCCTCTGTCTTCTCTCCCGTCTCCCCCAGCACTATGCGCCCCCCTCCCCCTTCACTTCTCCTCCCTCCAAGCTCCTTTCTCATAAATCTGTACCCTAAGTATTCAGTCCCTACCTGAGTCTCTCCTTAGTACCCCTCCGACTTTCGACCCTCTGCAACTCGCGGCATTGACCTCTGACCTTTGAACTCTAGGCACCTTTCTCACACTCGGCTCAACTTGCCCCCAGGTCGGGCAGCCCTGCCTCCCGCCGCCCCCCTCCCCGCCCTGCCTTAAATCCCGGCTCCGCCCCGTCCAGGGGTTGGTCCGCTAGCGTTGTGCACAAATTAGGCCCACCCAGGTGGGCTGTCACCGCCGACGAAGCGCGTGATGATTGCGAGAGTTTCAAGTCCACTTTCCACTCAGAGGTCCTCAAAGGCTCACTCCGCATCAAGTGATTCACATCCTCAAATTCGGGCTCCACATCTAGGGTCTTATTCCTCCAGACACCTCGAATATGACAAGATACAAGGGCCTGGATCCAGCTCTTCGAAAGAAGACTTCATTTCCCAAAAAGCACCGCGCCTGCGGGCCGCAGGGGACCATAGGAAATGCAGTCCCCCTCCGCGGGCTGGAGGCGGGCTTTCGGGGTCGCGCAGAGCATGCGTGGAAGTGCGTCCCCGGAAGTGAAGCGAACCGGAAAGAGACCAGAAGGAAAGGCGACGCCCCACCTTGCTACGGTGGCCTGAAAGGAGTGGCGAAGGCGGTGCGGTAGAATTCATTATTTCTGGGACTCACAGACGTGATGTCTTTCAAGAGAGAAGGGGACGATTGGAGTCAACTCAATGTGCTCAAAGTAAGCGCGAGAGAAGAGCGTCTGGAGCAGCTTTCGCTGCCGTCTGAAGGCCGTGAAAAACTTGTTTTGTTGCTTTGGCAACACTGGGGGGGNTATTTATTCATTACTGAACATGCTGATGGGTATCACCATCTATCTACCCGCCTCCCAAGGTTGAAATATAAGTGTCACCCTTAACTCATACTTTTCTGTCTCCACCCAAACCCAGTGGTCAACAAAAGTGCTGCAAAAATCTCACTCATATGTGGTTTCATCTTGACTCTACTGCCATCACCTTAGAACAAGTCTTTTTTTTAATTTTTATTAAATTATTTTTTATTTAGAACGACTCTTAATATTTCTCGTCTGGGTATTGCCAGGTTTTTAATTGGTCTTTCTCCATTCCTACTCACCCTCTACCCTGCTGCTATCTATCTTTAAAAAAATGAACTGATCAACCTATTACCCTGCTTATAAACCTCCTACGGCTTCCCATTGGCTCAGATAAAATCAAAATTAGCATTCCGGGACATCCTCAATCTAGCCCCATCGGATGTCTAGCCTCATCTCTCTTCTTCTGCCGCCTGTACATTTTGCCGTCCTGAACTTCTCATTTTTCTTCGAATATTTCTTGATCTTTCACACTTTTGTGACTTTATCTGCCTGAAATGCTTCGTCACCATCCAGTTCTCTGCCTGGAAAACTTCTACTTATCAACTATCACTCCCTTTGTGTTACCCTCTTCAGGGCTCCCAATGCATACTGTAAATATTATCTTAATAATACCCTATTATATTGTTATTCACCTATTTGCATATTGGTCTTGCCCAAACTCTGTGAGTCCTTTAAAGGACAGGATGGCGACTTGCTGTCTCTGTATCCCTAAGGCACACACTCAGCACACAGCAGAGGCTCATTAATGCTTTATGAGTAAACAAACTAGATAATAAAATATAGAAACCACAGATATAATATATCAGTATTTCATTATCAGAGTCCAAGCAGCCAGTTTTTCTAAAAATTCGTCCCATATTTGCATCAGTTTGGGAAATCCTATTTCTTATACCTATCAAGTATCAAAGCTGTTTCCATCCTGGGGCAAGGCCATTATAATAAATTTGACTAATAAAATCTTATGCTATAAGGTGTTTAAAAATAAAACCAGATGAATCTGAACAATCAAAGAAGTTAAAATTGGCTTGTAGTTTTGCCTAGATAATATCCTAGGTCCCTTCGAGCTCCAAGATGCTATGAAGTAATCTGTGAATTTTCTGTTGCTTTTGTTATTTCTTAGAAGTACCATATAGGAGGGGACATCGTTCCACTCTTAAAAAAGAAGGAACCAAGGCCAAAGCCCAGAGAAGTCCTAGACCACCGAGCCAGTCTTTAAGAGCTAGGAAGGCCATTAGAACCTAGTTAGTTTAACAGAGGAGAACAAAGTGAGGGTTTGAGAATGAGATGGCCTGGTCTGAATCATAGGTCTGCTGATTAGATTAGTTGTGAGGTCTATGGCAAATTATCTCTCAAAGCCTCAGTTTCCTTATCTTTAAATAGGAATAGTTACGCCTACCTCATAAAGTCTTACAAAGATAATATGAGATACCATATAGAACTTGGCACACACTAAGTGCTCCTTAAATGATAGGTAGGTAATAACTTAGGTAATTATCATTATTTAATACATCTTCCTTATTTTACAAATGGTGAGGAAACTGAGGCCCCATACAGGGGTAGTTACTTATGCAGCCACTCAGTTGGTAAGAGGCAGAAGGAAGCCAGAGCCTAGAATTCTTCACTAGACTAAAGAATTTTTCTGTACTCTGAAAGGTACAGGGCTGTAGGGAAACCTCAATAAATAAATGTGGATTCACGAGGAGCACCGTTCCCTTCTCTGCAGAGCTCCTGCATCTTTGTTGTTCAGGACTTTTATATCCACTTCCTGGGTCAGACCGTGCCCTCCACTTGAAATGTTTGCTTTCCCATACCCCGGATCTACACGTGTGGAAATCTCAGCCGTACTTTCATTCACTCAGAAAACATCTATTAAGCTTCTGTGTGCTGGAGACTATGCCAGACTCTAAGATATAAAATGGAAAGGAGGGCCGGCCAAGGGGCGCGTTGGTTAAGAGCTGGCTTGGGAC